TTAAATTAGCTTTTATTTGATATATATTTTAATAAAATCGCTTAATTTTAAGTTTGCCCCGATTTATTAAGAATATGCCAAAACTAAATATAATAGCATCAATATGGGTATCAAAATTTGGCATTTTAACTATGCAATCAATCAGCTACACATGTATATACAGACATCATTAAATTCCCAAAATATATTTAAAATCAATAACAATTTAATACCTCCAATATAGGGTAGGTTTATACTAAATAATTTGCATGATTTAATTTTTAGAATTTTGTTTTTAAATTGCTAATTTCAAGTATCACATTAATTTGCAAAATCACGCAAAGTTTGAAAAACTATTAAAATTGTTTTCGGTACGTTTTTGTTTTGTTTCAAAAAACAATCGAGTAATTTATTGTGATATTTTTTTTTTAATGAAACGTACACTTAGTTAAATACACTATAATATGCAAAGTAAACAATTGAAAATTTAAGCGGAGATTAGTCAGTTTTTGGAGAAAAATAAAGAGAGAGTCTACTATGTACTTACAGTCACATAGATATAAATATTAGGGGGGTTGTTTTACAATACATTTTAGTTTAGAGAATTTCAAGCAAATCTGGTTGGATTGTGTGGAAAGTTTGAGTCGTATTTTTTCGCCAATTATAGGTACTAACATATTTTGAAACCTCCCTAATATACCCATTCAAAATATTCCAAACTTTGTGAGACTTTTGCCGACACAATTTTATTTGAAATAATGCATTTTTTTGTCAGTGTATTGATGTTTTTAAAACTGCTAATTTAAGCATTTTTTCAAACTTCAAGGTAAATAAATGAGTCCAAAGAACCAAAAAAAACCTAAACACCTTTATGACACTTTACTTGTCAAGAGAGAGAAGAAAATGGGGATATAAATAACAAAATTGCAGACAGCGAGAGAGTGAGCAGTGTCAGTGTAAATATTGAATTACATTAAAATAAACTTCAGTTTTAACTGACGTGTGTTTATTGAAATTTAATTATAACCCTATGAAGAGTACAGAAAATAAAAATTAAAACAAAAATATTTTTTTCTAAAAAAAAAGTGTCATAAAAATCAGTCACGAATAGAGGAATTTGAAACTATACGTGGTATATGGTTTTTGGAATGACAGTAAAAAAAATGTCTTTAATTAAATAATAACTATTAAATTGTTATTAAATAATTAAAATGAAAATTTAGCAACAAATATTTAATACACTTAAAATAAATGTTTTAAGAATATTTTCGTACTCCTTGTCATTCAGTTAAAAGTTTTTTTTTTTTTAATAATTTTCTTTACGTACAAAAGTCAAGGTTTCACCTTTCAAATTTGAATTTATATTTTAAACAGGCTTTTTTGTGTTTCAATTAAATCGATATTTATTGAAACAATTTATTGCGTTTATTTTATAAAAAACAAATTGTACTTTGAATTTAAGTACATATGCATTATTTATTGCAATGAATAAGTACTAAAACAGAATAAAAACTAAATAATTATGAAATAAATTTTAGTAAAATACATGATAATTTCCTTATTTGACCTTTAAAAGTGCTAAGCATAATGTTAGTTTCAAAAATATTACAATAAACAGTCAATATGCATCGAAGCATGTGTTGTAATTTTGTGAATCGGAAGGCGGCCCTATATACATACATATAAACACAGGTTATATACTTTTGTTATCATGGACAATTATTGCCCATTTTCTATATCCAACAAACCTAGTCTATATAGAGTAATTGTGAATAGAGCAATAGGTATAGAGTAATAGGTTTAGAACCTAATATGTTTTCAATAGACCGACAGACAGACAGACAGACAGACAGACAGACAGACAGTTTGAAGTACGAACGGATGTGGCTAGATAGTCATTGAGTCAAATAAACACTCTCAATATAAATATTTTTGTTGTTCTACGATCAATATTTCAATATATTATGACTATTCTACCAAAGTTATTATGATTTTTCTCAGCAACATGTTGCTGGATAGTCATTGAGTCAAATAACAACTCTGAATATAAATATTATTGTTGTTCTACGATCAATATTTCGTTATGACTATTCTACCAAAGTTTTTAATATTTTGCTCAGCTTCTATCATAGCAACATGTTGCTAATAAAATATTTATCAACATCTTTTTTTTAATAATAAAAAGAGGTCAATTTGTAAAGTGTTGTGAGTTAAAGAGTTCAAATGGTTATTATACATTAATAAGGAATCGTTTCTATAAAGTTAATTTTTGGAGATTTCTTAGCAACATGTTGCTTAAACATAAGAAATTTTTCTGTATTTTTTTAACAAAAGAAATATTTTTTAAATTAATAAGGTTTAAATATGTTTTTTTAAATCGTATACATGTATTTTGAAGTAAAACTCGCTATTTTTATACCCTTCACCTTCGTGAGAAGGGATATATACCCTTCCGTTTGTAATTTTCACAATATAATTTTCCGACCCTATAAAGTATATATATATATATATTCTGGATCCCTAGAGATAGTGGAGTCGATTAAGTCATATCCGTCTGTCTGTCTGCCTGTCTGTCTGTCTGTCTGTCCGTCTGTCTGGTGAAATCAGTTTTCTGAAGACCCCAGACATCTTCGGGATCCAAATCTTCAATACTTCAATACAGACATGCTTTCGAGAAGTTTCCTATTTAAAATCAGCAAAATCCGTCCATAAATAACGGAGATATAAGAAAAATCCCAGACAACCTCTGAACATTTTATCAAAAAAAGATAATTTTTTGCATTCTTTAATAAAAAAGCAACAACAACACTGCTTATTTGAAAAAATATGTATGTTTCGATGTATGTTTTGTGATGTCCTACAAAATAGGACCAAAAATATTGGTCCTACACCCACCTAAAGTAATATAGCTATGTCCGTCTGTCCCTCCGTCCGTCTTTGTGTCCATGTAAACCTTGCGCGTACTGTACAGGTCGCATTTTAAATCAAAGGAAATATCTGTAAATTTCTTTAATTCATTCATTAAATCAGAATGTTTTAAATAAAACTCGTATTAGTTTGTTAAAAAGAATATCTTAGCAACATGTTGCTTATCTAGTTTTTATTCAAAAACTTAAGAAAACAACTGAGTATTTTCTACAATTTATTATAGAGTTTAAACAGATTTAAGTTAAAATTTTTTAAATAAAATTTTTATTAATTTAATGAAAAAAGCTTCTTGTCAACATGTTGCAAAAAATAATAAAATAAAGTAAAATAATAAACTTTTTCATGGATTTTTTCTACTTTAGACTAAAATAATAACATTTATTAAAGAATTTTGTTGTTTCTATAAGAATTTACACTTTTTATTTTATAGCAACATGTTGCATGGAACAATTTTAACCTTAATATAACTTTTTAAAGAATTCTTTGTCGGAACATTTTTTAAAGATTTTTTTTTTAAATCCTTCATGTAAAAAGAGTTATATTTCGGAAACCATTTTAGTTATCAGTTTAATGCAACATGTTGCTGAAATATTAAAGAGACAATATTTTAAAAAATTTAACAAAAATTCCTTCTAGTGTAAACAAAAACTCTGTAAACAAAACGCTGAGATGTTTGTTTTAGCAACATGTTGCTTACAATTAGAAATTTTTGGTCATATTTCAAAATAAAGTTCTTTAGTTGAAATTAAATGTTTTAAAAATTTTGTCTCTTTCCTAGAAGAATTTCAACCTTTATTTCATGGCAACATGTTGCTAAGAAACATTGATATTGATGTTCTTTAAATTTGTTTCGTCTTGATAATTGTTTCTTAATTTAAGAACTTTTCAGTATTTTTGTTAAAATATTGTTTCTTTAAAATAAAAGGAATTCACTCAAATAATAGTTAATATCATGTAACAAAATTTCCATATGTTAATGAGTTGAAGCAACATGTTGCATACAAATATTTAGTGTATTTGATTTTGAAATAAAAGTAACACCTTTTCCATACAAAAAATTTAAATAATAGATTATTTTGCTTTAGTTTTTTCGTTAATTTTCTTTAAAACGCACAAATCACAAATTAAATAAAATTTTTCTCAGCAACATGTTGCTAACAAGATTTTCTTCAGTTTAAAAACACTTGTTTTTTTATGGTATTTGTAAAAAATTCTTTTAACATATTTTCAAAATCTTTCATAATCCCTTGAAATTGATTTCTTGACACTGACATGAAACAATATAAAATATTCTCACGCCAACTTTTTTTTTGTTTTGTTTTAAACACTTTAAACTAATAGATTTAAATGCATGGATAAAGCAATTAACTTTTACGAGATCTACACGATAATATGACATAATCTTTCATTCAGTTTAAGTTTTGGCAGTAAAAATTTTATCACTTTTTTATGTAAGAACTGTTGAAAAATTTGTTTTTTTTTTTTAGTTAATGGAGTGCACTCCTTTAAAGTTCTTATTTACACATGTATTTGATATGAATTTTAAATATTTTTTTTATTTATTTTCTTATATAGAATATTTTCTTATATAAAATTTTTTCTTATTAGTATTTTTACGTTTTTTTATTATTTTTCTTGTTTAAATTCCAAACACACACTCCCACTATTAATATGACAATATATTTTTCTTTTCTTCTTTTTAAAGTTGTATTTTTCTGAGTGTATATTTAATTAATTTATTTTTTTTTCACAGGTATTAAAGGCAAAAAAAGGTTTTATTGTTTATTGCAAAAATATTTATTTTCGTTTAGCGTAAATTAGGCGAATTAAACATAAAACTGCTGACAACCGCAAAATTTTGTATTTACAAAACCTTGGAGTTTAGTAAATTTTTTTCTTTTTAAGTTATATAAAAATGAAATAGAGATAATAATTGGCGGCTTTTTTATAAACTGAAAAACAATAACACTTTTAACAAATATATTTTTATTTTGAAATTTTACAAATTTTCACTATTTTCATTTAATTTCATTTAATTAAAACATTTATTTCATAATTAATTTGTTTAACCTTAAATTAATTTTTTAAACCACCTCTTTAAATAACTTTCTAAGCACTTTTTTCTCCGTTAATTTGAAACTAAAGTACAAATAGGCTCAATTTTTTGTAAACGTTGTTTGCAATATATTTCCCGTGTTTGGTCCGTTAACGTTTATTTTTCGAATTTTAAGCTTTAAACCGTGACTTTAAAGTACAATGGAAAAATAAACTAAATAAAATTTAAACAAATTATAAAAGTTGAAATGTAAAAAACAATTAAAACAAACATTGACACTGCAATCGTTCATAAAGAGAGAGACTAAATGAAACAGAAATTTCAAAAAAAAAAAAAAAAAAAACGTCGAACGAAGAACACAACAAACGATCGACAACACAGACAACAAGTGACGATTTCAATTTCAGGTAATAACTAACAGATACAAAATATATTTTTGTATCTAATACCCTCCGCCTTCGAAATTCAGTCGAACAGTCAGTACTTCACACAAAAATAATAATAAATAAATAAATACTCAACAACAACTACAATATATAAAAAAAAAACAATACAAGTGAACGACAGAAAATAATGAAAAAAAAAACCCAAACCATACATTAAACTGAGAGCCAGAGCACAGCGGAGCGGGCCATGACAACCAAATGTGAGAATAAGCTTTACACGTTTTTTAGTATTTTGTCGTATTTAAATGTTTTTCCAATGTATTCTTATACACCGTTTCCCATGGGTAAGGGATTAACTAAGATTAACATTTCAGACCCGCATACCAGAAACTACGTACTTTTGAATGTTTGTTACTTTAGAACTGACCTAGAACTGATCTATAACTGAACTAGAACATAACTAGAACAGCACTGGAACTAGAACAGAACTAGAACAGAACTAGAACTGAACTAGAACAGAAACAGAACAGAACTAGAACTGAACTAGAACAGAACTAGAACAGAACTAGAATAGAACTAGAACAGAACTAGAACAGAACTAGAACAGAACTAGAACAGAACTAGAACAGAACTAAAACAGAACTAGAACAGAACTAGAACAGAACTAGAACAGAACTAGAACAGAACTAGAACAGAACTAGAACAGAACTAGAACAGAACTAGAACAGAACTAGAACAGAACTAGAACAGAACTAGAACAGAACTAGAACAGAACTAGAACAGAACTAGAACAGAACTAGAACAGAACTAGAACAGAACTAGAACAGAACTAGAACAGAACTAGAACAGAACTAGAACAGAACTAGAACAGAACTAGAACAGAACTAGAACAGAACTAGAACAGAACTAGAACAGAACTAGAACAGAACTAGAACAGAACTAGAACAGAACTAGAACAGAACTAGAACAGAACTAGAACAGAACTAGAACAGAACTAGAACTAGAACAGAACTAGAACAGAACTAGAACAGAACTAGAACAGAACTAGAACAGAACTAGAACAGAACTAGAACAGAACTAGAACAGAACTAGAACAGAACTAGAACAGAACTAGAACAGAACTAGAACAGAACTAGAACAGAACTAGAACAGAACTAGAACAGAACTAGAACAGAACTAGAACAGAACTAGAACAGAACTAGAACAGAACTAGAACAGAACTAGAACAGAACTAGAACAGAACTAGAACAGAACTAGAACAGAACTAGAACAGAACTAGAACAGAACTAGAACAGAACTAGAACAGAACTAGAACAGAACTAGAACAGAACTAGAACAGAACTAGAACAGAACTAGAACAGAACTAGAACAGAACTAGAACAGAACTAGAACAGAACTAGAACAGAACTAGAACAGAACTAGAACAGAACTAGAACAGAACTAGAACAGAACTAGAACAGAACTAGAACAGAACTAGAACAGAACTAGAACTAGAACAGAACTAGAACAGAACTAGAACAGAACTAGAACAGAACTAGAACAGAACTAGAACTAGAACAGAACTAGAACAGAACTAGAACAGAACTAGAACAGAACTAGAACAGAACTAGAACAGAACTAGAACAGAACTAGAACAGAACTAGAACTGAACTAGAATAGAACTAGAACAGAACCAGAACAGAACTAGAACAGAACTAGAACAGAACTAGAACAGAACTAGAACAGAACTAGAACAGAACTAGAACAGAACTAGAACAGAACTAGAACTGAACTAGAACTGAACTAGAACTGAACTAAAACTGAACTAGAACTGAACTAGAACTGAACTAGAACTGAACTAGAACTGAACTAGAACTGAACTAGAACTGAACTAGAACTGAACTAGAACTGAACTAGAACTGAACTAGAACTGAACTAGAACTGAACTAGAACTGAACTAGAACTGAACTAGAACTGAACTTGAAGTAGAACTGAACTTGAAGTAGAACTGAACTTGAAGTAGAACTGAACTACTAATTAAGGAGAATCGAAGACATTGTTTTCAGGCATAAAACTGATGATTTCTGATTCCAAAATTTGCCAAAGTTGTGCAAATTTATAATTTTGGTTATTCTCCGAAATGGTGTTGAACATATTTAATTATATTTAGTTGTTTTTTATTTTCAAAATAAAAGAAAATAAATAAAAAAAATTAAATAAAAATGTATTGAGTTATTTTGTAGTTTTTTTTTTTTTTTTTTTGTTTTTATTTCTTTCTATTTTTCCCGTTGACGAATGACATACTGAAAAATAAAGTACTTGTTGAACAAATGTGACGTTTAACTAAAGGTTGTCAGTAGAGAGCACAAGTTCTACAAAATGTAGTTGTTGTTTTGGTTCAATACCTATGAAGAAATTCATTAAAATGGATAGAAATACACAAACACAACAGAACTGTGTCAAATTTTTTTAAATGAAGAAGAAATCATTTAAAATTCTAAACATTTAATACACATTGAGTTAGATTATAATGATGATAATAATGATCTTCATTATCATTATTATCTAAGTGACAAATAGATCTTTATGCTTTTTTAAATTATTTTGTGGATATAGTTTCTATATATAATTCTGGTGATGTTATTTTAAATTGTTTTCAAAAAAAAAGTAAACAAATTTAGTTTTTTTTGTTTAAACAATTTATGTTTAATATTCCTAGTAGTGAGTGACTTTGACAGACATCACTTGTTATTTTAGTTTTTTTTTTGAGTTTTTGAATTTTTAATTTGTTTATGTATTTGTAACGGTAGTTCCTTTTTTTTTTAAAACAATTTTAAATTTTACATGTTTAAATTTGCATTAATTGTTTAAGTGTTTTTTAGTTTAGTTTTTTTTTTTTCAGAAATAGGTCACAAGTTATTTATTTGTTTTTATTTAGCTTTTTTTGGTGTAATAGTTTTAGTTAATGTTCAAATTAATAGCGTTAATATTTGTGTTAACAATTTTCTAAATTGTAACCTTTATTATTGAAAGCATGAAATAATTTCAAAATTATTTCAAAATTCTTTTTTTTTAATATATTACTTAATACTTGAACAGCAGTATTTGGTAAGATTAATATAAAATTTAGACAGACGGACGGACATCATTAAAACGATATTGAGTCCGATCCGATAGATTTTTTAACTAAAACTAAGAAGGTGGAATTGTTTTTTTCATCATATACATATTTGTCATAAATAGTAAATTTTTTTAAAAAAAGTTTGAAAATAATGTCAATTCCCTTATATGCCCGACCTAATTGAACAACCTGCTTCAATACCTTTAATCACTTAAATTTTCAACAACTCTTCCAATTTAATACATACAATTAAAATGTGTCCGTACTTCCATTGTTCATTTAAATGGCGCCTAAATGTTCAATATTTATAATTATTTTTAGCCACAATACAATAAATTACATACAATTCAATATAATTTTTATCTTTACGAAAAAACAAAATTAAAATTCTCTTCAGAATTTTTTTTTTAATTCTGCTATTCTTTGTGTAAACTGGCAAAAACATATGCCCTTTTTTGAAATAGCTTACAAAAAGTAAAAAAGAAATTAAGATAAAAAATCAATATAAATTTCTTTTCAAAATTCAAATAAATAAAAATTACTTTTTATACAAATATTCAATATTCAAGCCAAACAACCAGTACACACATATACACAGGAAGAACGCCCCTAATTAAGAGAGGAAGAAGCCATAATGATTTTTAATTTCAATATATAATTTGTATGGCCAGGGCGCTTGATTCCGCTATTGGGGATATTGTTCAAGTGTCTCTGGCACACACAAACAAAAAAACAATCGTTTTAAATAAATTTCAAAGAAAATTTGTATGTTTATTTGTATGTATGTGTTTATTATGATAATTGAAAAGTATAATTAAAATTCTGATTGAGCATTTGTTATTTTGGTTGATGTTGTTTTTGGTTGGTGTCTTGTTACTGATACTTGTTGAAAAATGTTGTTGTCTCAATTTTGTCAATTAAGTACAAAAGAAAATCATATTTCAGCTTTATTTTTGAACTTTTGTATGTACAACTTTGAACTTTTAATACAGCCCAGGCTTGACCGAATTGCTAGAGTTCTCCCTTCTCAGATTAAAATATATGATTTTTTCCGTTTTTAAATTATTTTTAATTTTCGAGTGTACAGATCAGCGGCCGGCACAAAGAGTAATCTACTACTATATTTATCAAACTATAGCATTGTTTTTCGACCAATCTATAGAGGAACTCATTCGATAATCTATCGACTAGTCAAAGCCTGTGGTCTATCAGCTAGTCTATAGACGAGTCTATCGACCAATTTATAGTATAGTCTATCAATAAGTTACTAGTCAGATCTATCGACAGGTCTATAATCTAGTCTATAGACCAGTCTATGGCCTAGTCTTTAGACATGTCTATAATCTAGTCTATAGATCTGTCTGTAATCTAGTATAGATCTGTATATAGACTAGTCTATAGACCTGTATATAGTCTAGTCTATAGACCTGTCTATAGTCTAGTCTATAGACCTGTCTATAGTCTAGTCTATAGACCTATCTATAGTCTACTCTATAGACCTTTCTATAATCTAGTCTATAGAACTCTCTATAGTCTAGTCTATAGACCAGTATAGACTCTGTGGTCTATCAGCTAGTCTATCGACCAATTTATAATATAGTCTGTCAACAAGTTACTAATCAGGTCTATCGATATATCTATAGAACTGTCCATAGACTACTCTATAGACCTGTTTAAAGTCTAGTCTATAGATCTATCTATCTAGCCTAGTCAATAGACCTATCTTAGCCTTAGTCTAGTCTATAGACCTGTCTATTATATAGTCTATAGACCTGTCTATTATCTAGTCTATTGAACTGTCTACAGTCTAGTCTACAGACCAGTATATGGTCTAGTCTTTAGATCTGTCTATAATCTAGTCTATAGACCTCTCCATAATGTAGTCTATAGACTTGTATATAGACCAGTGTACAGAACTTTACATATTTTAGTCTATAGACTTCTTTATAGTGTAGTCTATAGACCTATCTATACAGAGATGTCTATAGACCTGTCTATAGTCTAGTT